AGATAGAATATGAGGGTTATATTGGGACAATGGAAAAGAAAATGGAAACTACTATTTAGGGTTTAGGGTTTAGCCGGTCTGTGAACCACTTCTTTGTGCTTTGCGATGTTTCCGATGCCTCAGAGAATATGGGCTTACGGAATCCCTATATCACCTGCGTGCTAATTCGGCCCAGTCGCGTTCCTTCAAAAATCATTCTCCATTTCATGCCAAGCACAGGTGCGCGGCAGGTGTTTGGCTAACTACAGCCAGCATGACATGATGACCGGACTGACTTTAGCTGGAACGACCATAGGAACAACAAGTAATTACTATGACCTAAAGCCTAAACCTTATTATGGTCTCAGTCTGATTTCAAGCTGAGGATGACAAACACGCTTGGCTACTTGGAGTTCAGAGCGCAAGGCCGTGACAAGGAGCCGTGGGCAGTCTTGAGTTGCGAACCTGCCCCACTACGCGCCCTGCACCAAACTCAGGTAAAGCTCAAACACATCCTAAAGAAGCAGTATCTAGGTGTTTCCTGGGGGAGTGGGGGTGTTGTATAGGATTTCAGCACATGGCCATTGGCAGGGTTTCTGCACGTACTTGAATATATACAAAAACACACATGCGTATGTGTATATCCTTCTCGGTCGTAGACTCTGAGACTGCCTATGGGAGTTTCTCAGATGACATATCTTCAGGGGTCCGCAAGGGTACCCCACGTTAAGCCTTAAACCTTCAACCCTAAACCCCAAATCCTCAACCCACGTAAGCCTTGAGTTCTAAGCTCCAAACCCAAAATCTGAAATCCAAAACCTTACAGTCTAAGTTCTAAATCTTAACCGTAATCTACAAACTAATCTGTCAACCCTTCGGAACCCCAACCCTACAAAGGGCCGTAAGCCCATTGCTGAAGGAGTCTCGCTTGGCAGCGCTGGACCTCGACTTGCCATTCATCGTTTACCAGCAGGGTAACCTGCCAACGAGTTCAGGGTTATACCCTTAATCCTTTAGGGTTCAGGGTTTACCAGCAGGGCAACCTGCTGAACATGGGGTTTATACAAATAGGTTATTTAGGGTAGCTTAACCCGTTTATAGGGCGGGTAACTTAATATAGGTGTAAGGTCACTGCAGTGTTGGGATGATAGAGCAGAGTTTGCGGTTTCGGGTTCAGGGTTAGGGGTTAGGGTTTTAGGGCTTGGGGTTTAGGGCTTAATTACGAGCAAGGCAACCTGCCGAAAAAGGGTTCTCTGTTATTAGGTCTTAGGCTTGTTAGGGCTGACGGTTTTGGAGGGTTTGCTGCTGCCCGGATTTGGGGCATTTAGGAAGTTTTACGGTTCCGGGCTCAAGAGCAAGCTGCCCAGTCCGAGAAACAAATCATTCTGTTGTTTGGCAAGTCCGCATGACCTTGGTACTTGCATACCACGTTTTCCCAGGGTAGACATTACTCAGGGTCATGCAATATCGTTAGACACGAAGAGTAGTACCTGTACAACCTTGTCAGGATGCGTGTGAGGTACCCATTCCTGCAACCCACACCCTGAGCCAGCAAGCCACATCTACAGCTCGCTAGATTGACTCCGACCATTTTTCCTCAAAAGAAGCGCGAGGAAGGCAATCCCCACATGAGTTAGTGTTAGTATAAGCCGTATTAAGGGAGCCTTAACAATGAATATAGGGGTCCATCTTGTTGTTTAGTACGGTCCCTAATATATCCCCTAATATAGACCCCATGTCCGCTTAATCTATCTCGCATGAGCTGTGTCAATGTTAGGTTTACCATGGTACGAGCCCATGTCCAGCAAGCATGTGGGTCATATTGACTGTAGCTCACACGGCCCACGTCCCAAAATGTTTAAGGTTTGGGGCTTAGGGCTTCAAATGTTTCAACTAAACGCAACCCGCCAGAGGCCGGCAAGCATGATAAGTCTCGATGGTGCAAATGGGGAACCTACTAGTTTGATTTATGATTATAACAAGAAATTCAGTGTTATGTGTTGTGTTTCTTTATTCCGCAGCATCATGCTGATACTTGTAGACACTCTGCAGAGAGAGCCACACCTTAGACTCTACTCTTTCACATCTTAACCGATAGGTCCTGCTGCGGATGCGGGATATCTTGTAGCACTTTACACACTTTTTTCAATCTTCGAAACACTGTATACTCGGTGTCTTGAGTGGTGGAAGACTTCGCCCATTCACCGTAACACTCAGTAATCCACAATCCTGAAACAATCCTGAGTCCTTTAACCCAAAAACTTCATCCCAGGTAGAGGAACCTCAAGCTACAACCAGCTAATATCCTACAAGCCCTTGTGACTATTTCTGTAGATGGCACTAGTGTTCCTTAAACTACCTACCTAGATCCAACACCCTACATCCCTTCGTCGTTCCAGTTTCCATGTGATGTTCCATTTTCTTGTCTATTCGATTCTTCGCTAATCTGATTCTTTAGGCCCGGCAAACCAAAGCTCCAAACCCCAAACCCCAGTTAGCCCTAATCCCTGCCCAGCCCTAATCCCTAGTTACACAGCTTAGGCAAGAGCATCCTTCAGGATGTACCATATCCGGACTGGGAGAGCCTCCAGCTCCGCCAGGCTCTTGTTGTAGGATCCGCTGACTGGTGCGAGGAATGGATCTGTTATTTAGGGGATTATACAATCGGGTTTATGATGCAGGGTTTGGAGTCTGAACTCCATAAAGGGGGGTTATGTAGGGGATTGCATAGGGGAGTCACATGTGAACCCATCGACTTTAGACGGCATAATCTTCTGTAATTCCAACAAGCCAGCAGCAAGTTTTTCAGGCTTGGGCTTACAGCTTTATCGAAAGATTTTTTTTGGCTTTGAATGAGGTGCGTGTTTCGAGGGAACTTTAGACTTGGAAAGGCATCCATCAAATTTTCGAGTAGTTTGAAAGGAGGCTGCGAGGGTTTCCGCAACATACAATTGGTACTTCAAGCACTTGTCCCCCAACTTGAAATGCGCCTGCCCTCTTCAGGCCTGGCGGTCATTCAACCCTTAGTCCCGGCTTCGCAAAAGTACCACCCCCCAAGAAGTGGCGTCATGAGGAAGAGAATGGAATCTGATAGCTAGATGACCTCACTCTTTGCAAGCGGATTTTCTTCGCAAGCTTTTTTTTGGGAACACTGCATGACCACTCATGCTAAACCCTATAAATCCTAAACCCTAAATCCTAAACCCTACATCTTAAAGGCAATCTGGCGCAGCATCCCTTTGGCCATGGTTTCCTTGCAGCCTGGCTAGAAGGGTTTTTCGTGTAGGGACAGATAGGAGAGTTTCAGGCGGTTTGCTGGTGAATATATATATATATACACGTGTGTTTGGCTTGTGAACACACTCACAAATGTATATATATATATATGTATATATATATACACATTTTTTCCCCCCCTTGGATCTTGAGGGCTGGTCCGGATTTTTTTGCAAATCCCTTTATTGGGTATTGCCAAGTCCTGTCCAATCTCATCCACTCCCGCTGCCTGCCCGTGAGTATATAACCCCGATCTATACCCCACATTGGAGACTGGCCAATGGCCCGGAGGCACAGAGCCTGCTTCTAAACCTGCTGGCAAACTACTTGGAACTCTCGGGCCTTGAGAGGCCCTGAGGCCCTACATCTGCAACAACCCTGGAGGCCCCTGGAAAACCCCGAAAGAGCGGCCCCTGGAGGGCCATGAGGGCTGCTCCGTGGCCCTTGGAGGCCTTTGAGAGGCCAGAATTAAGCCAAGGCTTTGGTTACCAGAAGTACTCAAACTCCGTAGACAGATTTGTTTAGACTAAAGATTTTCTCAAAGCCTCGGCAATATGCCACCCCGCATTTTCTCACACATTCTTTGACAGCCAGCCCAAGGTCTGCGCGCCATAGTTCGAGCACCGACTTGAGAGTTCTTCCCCAAGACACAGACTGAATCAACTCCCTTTCCTGCAGTTCTTCCCAGCACCGCCCCAAAATTTTCCCACAGCAAAATAGAGTCACTGGCAGAACGAATCAAATTTGGAGCTTTTCGCCAAACACTCCAAAATTTCTCACAGCCCAACACGACAGGATTAACCAATTACTCACTTGGAGTTCTTCTCCAAGACCCAAGTTTTCCACAGCCCCATAGATCGACTGCCAGAATTAAATCCCGTACCTGGATCCCTGCCAGAATTACTGAATTCCTTCACCCGCGTCCCAGATTATGTCATATTCCAACAAATTCAATGCCAGAATTAGTCAAATCCCTTAGCAGGAGTTCTTCCCCAGGAAAGCCCCAATAGAGTCACTGCCAGAATTAGAGAAATCCTTGATCCGCGTCCACAAATTTGACATAGCGCGCTAGATTCACTGTGGGAATCATTCAAGTCCCTGAGCTGCGTTCCAAAATTTTCTCACCGCCCAATAGATTCGCTCACAAAACAGACTTAATCAACTCCGTCAGCTGGGACCAGAATCCGAAGCTTTTGCAACATGCCATCCCGCATTTTCCGACATATTTTCCGACCGCCCAAGCCAGAAGTCTGCGAGCAATGGTGTTAGTACCGAATTCATCAAGTCCCTTACCCACCTTGCTGAGATGCAAATCCAAACTAGAACTTCTGGTCCAATGGTTTATCGTCAACCCAGGGCCGACAAAAGATAATCTACCCCAAAAAAGTTGGGCTGTTTGAGGGTTGTGCTTGTAGGAGTCTGAAGTCTGAAGTTCGGGTTAGGGTGTGGGTTGCTTTTGTAAGGGCTTGGCCGACCTGGCGCATGCGTAAGCTATTTCTGCAAAAGCCTGGCTTCTTATATGGCTTTGTCATGGACATGCTACAAAGTCCCCCTGAGCCCTTGTTCTACCTTGGCATGCCTTTGCCACGGCCTCCTTGCGGCTGGGTTTCGTATTCGTTTTCGGCCTTCAGGGAATACCTAGGGGAAATGAAGAACCGTGGAATTTTGCGAGACATACCCCTCGCTCACTTGCTGTTGAAAGTCCAAAGCAGAGTTGCCGCCCAAGGTACCTTGCCAGTTGAGAGATGATGGAGGTGCCGCTTTGCTACGTCGCTGCCACCTTGGTAAAGGAACTCTGGAATTTTAAAGTTCCAGACTTCGGCAAAAATGCCGCAGAGTCATGGATGCTTGAACATCTTAAACGAGGAGAGCAAGAACCACAGGCAGAAAATGTCACCTTGAGCATAGAACAACAAATTCTCTATCCCCTGATTCGGAACGAATTCAGGACTTCGGCTGACATTTTGTGGAAGGTTGCCCGGTGCGGCAGTCCTGATGTAGTTTGGGGATGGGACCAGACACACCCTCCAGAACTAAGATGGATCATTTTCACCTTGCTCGACCCTCCGGAAGCTGGCCTGGGCCATCCAGGAAGTGGCAATTTACTTGCTTTCTCGGTGATGCTGGTGCGGACGTTTCAGGGGGCTCTACTCGAGCATGCCACGGATCTGAGACGTCTGGGCGTGGAACTTGCCAAGAAGTATGAAGGAAAAATGGCCGAACTATTCGCACGAACGAAGGGCTGGCCAGAAATGGTGCGCTTTGCCTGGGGCAAGTTCAGGGAGGCAACAGGCGGAGCGGAAAGCCAAAGCTACTATACTCGGTATCAGTCACGTCCCAACTTGATATTTGAGGTGCCCAAGGCCGCAGTTTTGTTTCTTGCCGCTTGCTCTCCTTTGGCCACGGCGCTCATTAATGGCCGAAATGTCCAGCATCCATGGTCGAAATTCGTGTTAGGATTGCATTCCATGCTTGACCTCCTGCTCCTCTTTTGCGTGATGCTTTGGGCATCCATCGTATTTTCCGCAAAGGAAATGGCTGATGCAGTGCAAAGTGCAGCGGAAGCCATTGTCGGGGTGCTTGTCACACATGAAAACGACCTCATGGATGCGGTGATGGCGTACGTCGAGAAGCAATGCAGCAGGTCAAAATGGCCCGGATGTGAGAAGCGAATTCACACCCTGAGCGCGATGGTTTACCAGATGGCATCCGAGCTCAAAGAGTCCTTCCAGGGACTTTTCCTCACCCTGGAGCACTTAGCAATGCCTGTCGTGTACCTTATCATGCTTGGAGCGGCCTTCGTGGGCTTTTGTTTAGTGTCAAGTTACCTTGCCACGGCCAGCTTGCCAAAGTCCGTCCAGATCCCACGCAGGTCTTTACTCAATGTGGGCATTGCTGGACCCCTGCACCTTGCGGCCATCATCACAGACGAGCACGTGAAGAAAGTTCTGGACATCCAGATGCAGTTGATCGTGCTTCGTGGACTCATGCTTTCCGTCGTCATGGTCGCCTCCCTCACCAAAGTCAAGCCGGAGATCTTCATGGCCCTGGTCAGCAACAGAATCATTAGTCGTACGCAGCTTCTCATCGCCTGGCTAGCTCTGTGGCTGGGGCGCCTTGCCAAAACCAAGCTTCACAAAGCCGTTTAATCTGAAGCAATGATTCCTGTGTTTGTTAAGTACGTGTTGCGGAGTGCAGCAGCCTTGTCACGTGCTATCTGGGCTTAGGCACATGGTCTCCGGCCTTCTTGCTGTGGATGCCCTTCGCGCAGCCCACCGCGCTCAACACATCAAGAAAGGTCAGGACAAGGAACAAGGTCCACCCGTCCCGTGCCCTGGCTCTATGCAGGTCCAGAGCTTTCCAGATCTCTTAGAGAAGTACGTGCTTCAGAATTGTAATTAGAAGAGTTTCGTTCGAGAGGAAACGCCGACCATCATTCCATCATTTTGGAACCAATCACATGCCCATGGCTTTCGAATCCCTAGCAAACCTTCAATCCTGAAGCGTCTCCCCGGATCTTCAGATTGAATGCAGCCCGGAGCCTGCAAAGCAATGCCGATGTGCTTGGCGTGCTGAATGCCCGAGTGTGTAGGGATAATGGAAAAGAACATGGAAGCTACTATATAGTATATTGAGGCTATATAGGGATAATGGACAAGACAATGGAAACTACCATATAATATATTGGGGTTATGTAGGGATAATGGAAAAGAATATGGAAGCTACCATATTAACATTGTGTATATCCCTGTCCACAGAAAGCTGCTGAGGTGCTCGTTTGATGCCAGCAGCGGCCGCAGATCCAGCAAGCCTCCTCCACCAATGCATCCGTCGCGACGGGCTAGCCAGGCGGACTGCAGAGGATTTCCAGATATCTGCTTGAAAGGCAGTTTCTAGCTTGAACCTAAGGGTTATAGGGATTTGGTGCATTACTTGCTGTGGCGATTATTCTCGTCACTATTCTAGGTTGCACTGGTGTTGAAGGGCATCTGGCCACAGATGGATGAAAGACACAATATTTAGCAGAATGCCATGTATTACAACAGCATAATTTGTACGATTTTGTAGCTTTTGTGGTATTTCGCTTAGGCTGTGTACCGTCGCCCCGGAGTGCCTCAGCTTAGAATTTTTTGCTGTTGACGTTCTAATCTCCACAGCGCACTACTCAACGCCCCACCACCTGCTAGTGTCGAATATCCTCAAACGTCGTCCGTGAATTGTGGGGGTGCAGGCCAGACATGCCGGGGGTGTGTCACATTGGCCTGTTAAGAATAAGGAGGAGTGTTTGCTTTGTTGGGCCATGCAGCTAGGATCCAGGTTTAGGTGTCAGCCCAATGTTTGTCTGCAATGAGGCAAGCTGCTGATGTATGCTAGAGTGGGTGATTCTCTGTAGCGGGTGGGGTTTGTCTTGTGATCAGGGTCACTTCCAGTATAAGCATCACAATTGCTGTTCTGACTGCTGCCACAACTGTTGCGAGCATTCAGTCTTCCGTCTTGCCAGCGCGCGGCATACTCGTACACAAGCCGCATGGCCATCTGGATAAGTTGATGTTGTACCCATTTCTCAAATCGTAAGCTTTGCCGCTTAGCATTACTGTTCTCATTGCTCATCACTCTTATCCTCGTCTGTGTTGTTGTGGTCATGTATTTTCAGGCGCTAGTCTTGTTTTTTCATTGTGAGTTGGATTTTCTGTCTTGCGTTCGTGAAGAGGCTGCCCATGGCAGCATGCCCTTAGCCCCGCCGGGCGTGCACGCCGCATCCGCAGACACGTCGCCAGCCTGACACAGCATGGGATCGCTTGGCTCAGGTTGAGAGTTCTGGATGAATGTAAGGGAAGTGGAGGGAGCACAGGGCCTATTCAGGTTCCTGCTTCGTACCAGCGGATCTTCAGGAGTTTTGTCGGGGCAGACAGAAAGGTGAAGCGTGGCCCAATGCAACTCTATCTTGCCATGCCGTTTTAAACTAAGTGTCTGCATGGCGTTCATTGGAGACCGTAGTTGCAGTCCCCGCTTCGAGTAATTAAAGCCGTCAAGATTGCTGTAGAAGGACCATGGGAATGATGACAAGACAATAACATGAGTCTTGCTGATTGGGTGCGGGAGGCCTGGCGCTAAGGCTTAAACTGGACAAAGGGAGCCTTCACGTTAATTCGACATTTCGGAGAACTTAAAACCCTAACCCCTAATTAAACTTCAACCCCTAGACCTCAATCTCTACATGGGTCGTTGTCAAAATTATGATCCCTGTTTAAGGGTACCCTCAATATGAAGCGCCGTATTCTAATAGGGATCCAAAAAGGGACATAATCTTGACAACCACCCACATGCGAATCCTTAAGCTCGAAGCCTGATACCATAAACCTTTAACAACCCTAAACAGTTTAAACCCAAAGAAGCTTGGACCCAGGTAGCAGGGTATGAGACTTAGGTGTCTAGGATCCCAGATGAAAGGTTCCTTCAAATTAAAGCTTGACCTCGGCTGAATGGGCTCGCTCTACAGGGGTTTCTGGGGTTTTAGGGGGTTTCTAAGATTTATATGGAGGGTTTTACTGTGCAAATTTTTCTGCGTTTGGACCTGACCTCAGCCCAGATGCTGATGAATGTGCGCGAATCTCACAGTGGCCTTATTTCAGGCCTTCGAAGCCCTAAGCCCAGACCCCAAACCCCGTCTAGTTGCCCCGGGTTTTCATTGATAGTCTGACTTTTGTCACAGTAAAACGGGTCAAGGTCCAACTGTGTATTGGTCGTGAGAAGGCAGACCTGCACGCCAGGTAGGCTGTGAAACTTAGGGGGGACCCCCCGCCCAGTAATAGTGACTATAAGGGATAATTGTAATCATATTACGGTTTTCTTCCTATCATACCATTATTAAAGGGTCCACCTTAGGTGAAACGTTCAAGACCTTCATGCCGATGGGGTTTCCCATGCGTTTCGTGTGCAATGACCGTGAAATATCTCCCTTCACCATCCCGAGGTCCGGCTATGACCGCGATTACCCTGCCTACTAAAGTGTAGCCGTGTAGCCTACTGAATCCCCAAACCCTCAACCCTAGAAAGCCAGTAGCCCAAAGTTCTAGGGTTCCGGGCCTACCACGTTTGGATTGATAGTAGTCCACCTTGTTGGGTAACTTGGCCTTCGAGTCTATCCGAATCGTTGCCTTTAAAAGTCTGCCGCATTTTTCGGTGAAATGCCTTTGCAGCATACTTGCTTGGCGGAAGCTATACTGTTTGGAAATCTTGGAGAAATTCATGCCCATGTGTGGTGGTAGCGTTTGCCTCGGTGGGTCTGGGAACTCAGAAGGTTGGCGTTCCATCTTTGGGAGCAATGGATGCTAAATCGTCGCATGTCAAGCATACAGGAATCACCTGAACCTGTTTGAGGGTCCTTCCTTGCAGCGACCTTAACTAGGTCACAATCCCAAAAGACCCCCCCCCCCAAAAAAAAAAAAGACAGACTCAAGCCCCAAACCTGAAAGCGTTGCTGCAGCGCATTGCGTGCTGAACGCCGAGATCCTAGATCGTAAATCCCTTGACCGCAGAAAGCTGCTCAGGTGCCCCGTTGATGCCAACGGGCGTCGCAATTCCCGCAGGCCTCCTCCCCCGATGCATCCGTCGCGACGGGCTAACCAGGCCGAGAGGGAGGATTTCGAGAAAGATTCGAGAGTTCGGCTGGAACGGCAATTTCTAGCTTGAACCTTAGGGTTTTCAGGATCTGTACTGTACCGTTACTTGCAGTGGCGTTCATTTCTTTTGCTATTCAATCTTGCGACGGTGACGCCTTAAAGGCTTCTGGCCACAGATTGATAAAGACATAGCACGTAGACTAGCACCACATAACTTGTATTTGCTTCTTGCCCTTTGGGGTTACTTCGCTCAGGCTTTGTGTTCTTGCCCACAAGCGCCTCAGCGCAAAATATGCCCTAAACCCTGAACCCTAAACCCTAAGCGCGTGACATTCTACTCTCCTATCTCTGTTATTCAGCAGCCGAGGATGTGCTAGTAACTATCAGATATCTTCACAGGGTACCCTAGTGCCCTTTTTCCGTTTTTGTTTTGGGGTCGCCGGATTAAGCTGAATACTAGGAATTATTATGAGGGGGCGACTGGGGTACTAAGTTCAAAAGTAACCCATGAATTAAGGGTGCATACTGAATATTAGAGGGCCGGGGGTGTGTCAGATTCGGGGGGAAGAGATCTGAAGTTCTGAAGAAGGATGACTGATTGCTGTTTTGGGGCTTGCACGTGGGATCCAAGTTTTAGGTGTCAGCTCCAGGATCTGTCTGCA